GGAGAGGGAAGACATCAAACGTGGGGATGGCTAGCCCCTTAGAGGCCTGTTGTCTTCAGCCCCAGAATCCATCATTTTCTTGGACTTTCTCTTTTTGGCAATGTTTTGTATACATTTTTATGTTTTATGTATTGGTATATATTTATTGTTTTAATGGTTTGTGTGAGCCACCCAGAGTACCCCATTGGGGGGAGATGGGAGGAGATAAATTGAATAAAAAAAAAAATGAAACTTGAATACCATCTTTGGTGATTTAAACATTCCCAGAGTATGCATCATATGGACATGAACAGATTCTTCTCTTCTCTGCAACCCTTCAACCAGTGAAAGTCACCAAATGTAGATGAACTGGATAGGCTTTTCAGAATTTAGGCTCAATGTCTATTTATCCCTAAATGTGACTGTTACCCAATGAGTTTGCACTGACTAAAGCTCCCAATTAGGTAAATAAATTAATGCATTTGGATGCACCTAAGTTTCTTCTTCAAATTTTCTGCAAACACGCAAACAGCTTGAGGGTACAATCCCTGGGAATGTAAATAGGGAGATGCATTCAGTATTCACAATTCAATTACTTCATCCAAGGTTCTCTAATTTCTGAATAGGACTATCACATATTTCAGTTTAGAAATTCACTGCCATGAGATGCGATGATGAAAAATGCCTTAAAGAGAGGACCCAAGAAATTCATAGAAAAAAGGTTGTGTATGGCTTATGATTAGTGGTTATAACCAAATAAATAGCTAAACAGATCTTCCAGTTCAATATGCCACCAAATATCAACTGTTTCAGGAGCAATAGTCATGGAAAGTCATCCAACTGGACCTGCAGGGGCAGAACTTAAGACAGGATGGATTATTGGTCCAACCCACAGCATAGGTTCTTTGTACCTTCTTCAAGGAAAAGCAATTGGTTCTATTTAAATGCATTCTATTTAAAAAGTTTTATTTTTCTTTATGAGCTTCCTTTGTTAGTACTTTTCTAGATTACACTGTTGAACTTAGTAGGAAAGTATAATTTGTAACTGGTGCTCACAAGTGCTCTGAAGCTGCAGAGGAGAAATGACAATACAGAAAGACATCCGCTCAGACAGAGGGCATAAACTGCTCAATGTTAAGTCTTACATTTGAAAAAGAGAGTCATGGCTCTAAAATATTAAATAGTTTTGCATCATTCAGCCCCATGGAAATATGCTGGATTCTCTCTACTGCATTCTTAATGAAAAGGACATGAACCACCCATGACTTTAATGAAATAGCATATTTAATAAGATTTTTTCACATTTTTTTGTGACTGGGAAAAACACAAGGCAGCATACATTTATTCTTTTTCAAAATATATTTAAGGAGCAATTATTATTTAATTCTGATCTCTTTGACTCTTGTATATTACAGATTTTCTTCACTGAACACATATATTATAATATAGGATTTTTTTGTTGCTGTCTTTTCTTTAAAACAACCAGTTTCAAGAGTATCTTGAATCTCAGCCAAGTATCTCTCCTTTCTTCATGGAACACGACTATTTCTCAAAGTGTCTGTTTTTCAAAGTCCTATTTCCTACACAAAATGCACTGCCAAAATGATCTACTACCAGGTACCTAAGTTGTTAGGTACATGATGCTAGCAATGGAGAATGTTATGACAAGATTTTGTTCTGTCAATTCATTTTCACATCTTGCAAATTTTCAGAGCTATTTCTTCTCTCACCCCATCCAAGAAGTGTAAAACCAAAGGCATTGCCAATTAACATTCCTGTATGGACCTGACAGGTTTAATTATGATGTTGTAGCAAAACAATTCGGAAGCTGTCTGCTTACTTTTTAGGTTGTTCCTACAAATAACATCTTCATCCAAACTAGTTAAAAAAATTAATACAGAATACTTTTACATTTGACCAAGGTACATGAAAAATCTGCTTTGATCTGATTGATTAGTTTGTTTAAAAACCTGCTCCATGTTATCATAACAACTGCATAGTACATGTTCTGAAAGGGCTAAGTCATGTTACACTTTTTGAAGAAAAGAGATTGATCGAGGTTAATGAAATAGAAAACAATTATCCTTTGACAGAATGATTTTGTTAGAGGAACTTTGGGTAGAAATACTGGAACTTATCTGGATAAAAATTGTCTATGGCAAGCACCCATTTAATAATTTAATGTATTGGACAAAAGTATTAGCAATAGTCAAGAAATTGTTGGGCTTCAGGATTTAGTGACTATGATCTAGACAGACTTCATGAAGTTTCATCGGTAACTGTGACTACGCAGACCACAGACAACTGAGCAGGAACTGTCTCGGTTTCATGAAGATTGATGCGGACTGATCTCTGATTGGTTCTTTGTTTGTACCTGATTCTGATTGGTCATTTTGATGGTGTTGGTTCCTGATTGGTCCTTTGTTCATGCTGGCTTTTGATTGGTCATTTCTGGAGCACTGACTCCAGACTGGCTCTTTTTTTATGCTGGGTTCTGGTTGGTTAAATTGAGCAGCTGAGTCCCGAATGGGTCCTTGTCCAGGCAAATCACAAACCTGCACCAATCAAAAGTCAACTCAGCTGAAGACCAATAAAAAATCAGGTCAATACAGTCAGTTTCTGCTCAGTTGCCTGTGGTCTGTGAAGTAGACCACCACCGCCTCTGAAGATGCCAGCCACAGTTGCCAGTGAAACGTCAGGAAATCTGCTGTCTAGACACAGTCACTAAACCTGAAGCTCAATGCTGCCCAACAGATACCGGCCATGAAAGCCTACACTAATACATAGTCAAGAAATCCTAGATTCAAATTTCAGTTAACCCACAAAAACACTAGGTGGCTTTAGACAAGCCATGATGGTCTTGGCTTATCATCAGCAGTATAGGTTCATATAGTAGTACAGGCTAACTACACATGGTTGCTATATAACTGAATGTACAATGCATATATACAGGATTGCTTTATTGGTGTTTGTATACACAAAGTTCTGGATACTTGAAAGATGCTACATAAATTTAAATGCTAAATAGCCTCACAAAGCTAGTTCATCAGGGGAGGAAAACGCTCCTGATTTAAGCAGGGTGTGTGTAGGGGGGGAGGGAGAGGCAAGGAATTGTCCTGATATATCAAATGCATTTCTGTTCAGCCTACAAAAAAAATCTTATTATTAAAACAAGCTGCTAAAAGTTTCACAGTGAAGAATTCCCACTCCCATTGCAAATATTAATTCTAGTTCACATACTCCAGCCGCTAAGGGACACTAATGAAATGAGGAGGTTGGCGTGATACGAGGGAGGAGGCTACAGACAATTGCACAAAGCAATAAAAGCTTTTTTGGCAGTCATGAATTTGGGAAGAATAAAATTATTGGCCATGTCAACCAGAACTGCAAATCATTTCCTTAAGGGCTTTCTCTCCCTCACCCCCTTCCTGACATGCAGCCCAAGGACATCAGGCAAAGTTGCCAGAGCTTCAGTCATCGCCCACAACAGCTACAAGCTGCAGGGTCTCTGAAGGCGGCCAGGACTGTCAGCAGCCACAGAGTACAGAGCAGCAGAAGGCCAGGGAACAGTGACAAGGCAAAACCAAGGCAGGCTGCAACACATGGTTAACAATGCACACAAACCTAGCAGGTCGGCCAGGAAAAAACGAAGTGCCAGAAGCCAACATCTGCAGTTAAATTTCAGTTTGCTAGTTATTAGCAACAGAGGGCCAAAGCAGAAAGGTTGCGGGGGGCGGGGAGAGGAAGAAGATTCTGGGAGGTGAACGCAAGCAAGCAAGCATCAGTGTTAACCAAAGTTTAAAAAACAAAAAACAAAGATACACCTAAGTTGGTTGTCATAAAAAATGTCAGTCACACTGAAAGGGTAAAAAAAAAACTACAACTAAAATTAAGCTTAGCCAACTGCCTTTTCTAACTGCTGCATAAATTCTACTTGAATATTCAGTGCAAAAGAAAGACAGAATTTAGGACATCATAAGGTTTGGGTCAATCTATTTCAAGTCTGAGTTAAAATATCAACTCGCCAGAGCCTGTGCTGTGATTTTTGTTTTTCCATCATCCCCTGAGAGATGCTGACCTAGATGGCTTCAGGATATGAAGCTTTGGCTTTTAAAAATGGAAAGGAGACGCTCAAAGGCCAAGGGTGGCTCCAGAGATATTTCTGCTTTGGACCTAAAGGCAAGGGAGGGAGATTCCCTACGTGCTTAATAGTTTTGGCTCACAGACATAGAATACCCCACAGAGACTGTTTTATTTTTCTTCTTAAAGGTAACTTCTGAATTCAAATGTTAGTAGAAAGTGCAGACAGAAAATCTGAAGTTCCTTTAAGGGAAATATTTTGCTCTGGAAAAGTAAGAATTCTGCTAGATGGGTAAGGTACCTTTTGTTTCTTGATTAACCAACAACATTAACATGTCCCTAACATGTAATTATCTTTCTATATTGAATTTCATTTTTGATATATTTTATTGCTGGTATCTGGAATTCTGGGATGATAATTTTTTTAACTGTGTTAAATAGCTGTGGTGGTTATGATTCATTGGAATCTAAAAAGCACAAGCTAAGAATCTAGGCGACTAGAAGTTCAGATTCATTGATTTAGCCTGTTTCTAGCATGCTCCTTAGTGGCATACAAGTTTAATAAATTATTATTGATTGGTCGCAGTCAGCCAGATGTTTAGACTGGATTTGGCGTTTTTTGTCCACCATTGTTGCTTCTTTGTAATGCTGTTGTTTGTAATCAGTTTGTGAGATCTTGTAGCAGCTAACTAGGAGGTCCATTGTTTCTTCAGCTTCTTTGCAGAGACTTGGTGTCTGTTGCTGTCTTCACAATTCTGGCTTTACATGCATTTGTTCTTAAGGCTT